AATCATCAATAAAGATGACCTGATCCTTCAACTTAAATAAATTCGTGTTTATTTCTTTTATAGTTTACAATTTAAACTTCCTGTTAGCAAATAAGCTTTGTTATCCTAACGACGTAATATTTAGGTTTAACACTGTTATTTTCATAGTAATAAAACCTAAAATATGTAATTTTTAGATTAGAAGTAAAAAAAAATAAGTACAACAATATTATAGTACTTTGATTTTCAGATGTAATTTTCATTAAATTATTTCATTTTTTTGTAGAAAAATTATTAGAAGAAATTTTGATAGGATCATCCATATTTCTTTTTTGTGAAATAAGAAGTAAAAATTATTTTTTCTTTATTAAACAGTTGAAGTTGAATATAAAGAAATGCTAGCAAGTATCTTGTATTCTGTAATATCTATCTGTTCTGTATGAGATATAATAAGTAACATCCATAAAGATATTTCAGTTGAACATATTGAATGATTGATAAGATTTCATCCCTTTGCATCAATTTTACAATCAGCAATAATATTTTTGAGCATATTATCATGAGAATGTTTTTTAAGTGTAGAATTACAGAACCAATTATCATGATATATTTTTTGTGAAGTATTAATCCTTAAAAAACTCAGTAGTTTTACAATCTTTTGGTCTTTTAGATTGATATAATAAAATATCTGCTACTGGAGAATAATTATTTGATTGATCTGTAGGAATATAATTATGTTTACCAGTATTGTATAGATTTTTAGCATCTCTTGCATTATTTTTTTCACGAGATATATTTACTTCAATACTGCGATCTTCATTAATAATGATCCAGGAATTTTTTAATCTTTTAAGATTACCACCACGCAGATTACAAAGAAGTGTTAGCCAAAACTAGACACAACATGTAAGACCTTTTAATGTATCAGTTTACATATTTGGTGAATTAAGAATAGTTTTAATTTCTCAAATTTCAAATGCATTAGTTTTCTTATAAGATGTATCTTGATTATCTTGAATTTGTTTAATTTGACCATCAAAAATTTCATAAAGCCGTTTCCATTTATACCTATCATGAATATTAATAAGTCTAATTTGATAAAAAATATCAAATAACCCTCTAGCAATTGCAGCAAAGCCTATATGCAATAAAGAAGATGCATATTCTTTTTTTCCAGATTTTCTAATGTCATAAAAAAATTGACAAAGCTGATTTTGCAATGCAATATCATCTAATAATTCAAGAGATTCAGTCAAATTGGCTGCATTTCTATAAGCATTAAAAAGATTTATTCAAGTTTTTATACTATCATCTGTATTAATAACGTGAGAGTAAACTTGAATCTTTTGTAAATCTTTATCAGTAGGAATAACAAATTATTCATATATTGTTGATAATTTATTTTTTTTAGTAGAATTATTTGATTTAGTTAATAATGTTTCCTTAAAAATATTAATAAAACTATTAATTATTTTATTTTTTTATTTATATTTTTTAAAAAAATGCAAAGATAATACCATCTTTAACTTATAAATCTTCAGATATTTGTTTAAAATATAAGTAAAAAAAAATAATGAAACCAATTTTTTGATGAAAAGAAAAGAAAGAAATAATTATTATGCATGTAATCAAAAGTATAAAAATTATAAATAATGAATAAATACATAATAATAATAATAATAATAATTATCACAAATCACACACTTTTGGGTATAACTTATTAATTTTATAGGATCAGAATACTGTAGTTTTTTTCCCGTAGGGAAAAAAACTGTGATATTCCTAACTTCCTATGAAATTACTTATATTAGTTTACTTGCTAGTTGTACTAAATAATCTTTTTCTTCATTAAAATTATCTTTTATAAATGTTCACTAAGAAATTGGTAATTCAGTTTTACCTAATTCAATATTAAATAGAATTTGACATTTACAAAATAATTTCATTTGATGCATTAATTCACTCTGTTTCCTATTTGATTTTCCTAGATTTTTGAAAATTTTATTTGCAGTTAATAAGAGTTCCCAAAAAGTTCCTTGTACCTAGCAAATATCTAAGGTTAAAAAATTTTTTAAATATTAATATCAAAATAAATTAATTACTATTTTAGCTAATTAATTTTTAATTATTAGTTTTTCCTTTAAAAAAAACTAACCTTTATAGTCTGAATGTAAAAGAAGCACAATAAGTATATTGAATCAGCAAATTCAACATAATGTTTATTAAATATTGTAATACATTGATAACAAAAAACACGATAATCATTTTTAAGTAATTTGTTAATTGTAGTCCCAAGCTGAACTAATCTAATAAAACAATCTGCAAGCATGTATGTTTGTAATTCTAATTTTAAAATTGCTTTCTTGATAGGATGCAAAGCAAATGCTAATACACATATATCATAAAAAAAGCACAGAATCGTAAAATTGATAGAACTGCTAGTTGAAGAATATCTGCATCATCAGATCGTAACTAAAAATAAATAAATTTAGTTAATAAATTAAATATAATATTGATATAAACATATATAATAACTTTAATATTACATACCCTTATTAAAGCTTCTTTATGACTCTGAATAGAATCAACACAGTTATACATGATATATCATTGAATATTGACACATCGTTTTAAACTATCTCCATTTATTTGGCAGTTTGCAGCCTTTTTTTTTAAAGCTGAACCTATTATTAATAAAGATAAAAAGTGAATTTTTTTAAGCATTATAATAAAATGGAAGAAAAATTATAAAAAAACTTACCTCCTTGATGACTTTTTTTAAAAAAATTACTATTGTATTGCATTGAGTTAAAATCTGATTTGCAAAAGTAGTATTACATATATTCTTGGAAATTAGATTGATTGCATGAGCAATACAACGAATATTAAGGATATTTTAATATTTATCAGTAATTATTTTATGAGCATTTTGAATGTTTGCTCCTGTATCTGATACTATTGCTGAAAATTTTTCTGATCCAATTTTGTTAATTATTTCTTCTATTTCACTTGCTAAGAAGAGACCAGTATGGCGTTCATCTGACAAATTTTTTAAGCACCACAAATATTCTTTATGAGAGGGTGTATGAATAAGAAAATTCCAAATAGATTCATTTGCTGTATTGGTCCACCTATTGCATGCTTTAAATTTTAAAAAATTATAAAAAATAATAAGTTATAGTGATTAATAAATTTAAAACATATAAAGTAACTTTATTACTTATATAATGTTAAATTTGTAGAATTTTGTAACTCCCTAATAATCTTGTTATTCACGACAGCTACTTCTTGATGCAAAAGTTCTTTCTTTAGAAGGAGGTATATATCCTGGATGTAGTGTTTTTAAAAACTCCATAAAAAATGGATTTTCAATAGCATGCCAGGGAATACCACATATAACAAAAGATTTCTCACATGCTTAATTTCATGGCTTTTTCTGGAGAGAGCTTTGAGCTTTCATGAAAATCTGTTATTTTTGTTTGTTCAGTCCCACCATCAAATTTTCGTTTTTTATTTTGTTGATCGAAATTTTCTGCTTTTGCAGCAAGTCGGTTTAAAAATATCTGTTTTACTTCTAATGAAACTTTTAAACAGTTATTAGCGAGATGTGATTCTAAAACTTGAGGTGAACCTTTATGCCAAAAAGTATTACAGTAAAGACAAGTAGCTTCATAATGGCCTTCTGATACTTTTTTTCCTTGCTTAATATAGGTTCCCCATACAAGAGACTTTGGCCTGCCACCAGAACTTTTCTGTAATTGTTGTATATTATCTCGTAAAATTTGATAATTTCCACCTGACATATTGGGTATTTAATGAATAAACTGCGCGCGTTGTAACCACTGCGCGTTCAATATGTATATATATGCTAATCGGATTCCTTTTTTAGGTTGAAGATCCGGAGGTCTAGGAGGTTTAGGAGGTTTAGGAGGTTTCGGAGGTTTCGGCTGCCGAAAGGTTTCGGTTTCGCCCGAAACATTAGATTGATTTGGTGAGAAAGTATTTAATAGCATCATTTGACTTCGGGTATTCTTTTAATATTTGGTTGATCTTGCAATAATCTTCAAGCATTACTAATTAGCCAGTAACGCAATTTCTAATACATCATTATTCCTAGTTTAAATCTTTCATATGCTAATATCTCAAAAAATTCCATTTAAAGTTCATTTAAATCTGTTCCAACAATTTCAAGTTTGGTCGAGTTGAGTTGGTAGTAAAAGTATTTTTTAAAGATCAACCTCAGGTGATTAAGCGTCATTTGACGTAGAAATACATTTTCAAGATGAACATTATGAAAATTCTCATTTTAACGATTTTAATACCTGTTATCGGCATCGTATATTGTCGTATTTGCTGCTCATTAAATGGTGAGATTCACCTCAATCATAGTTTTTAAAATTGAAGCCTAATTCGCTAAACATCTTGATTTTAAAAAGGGATCAGTTAACTATTTGATTAAGCTTGACTAAAGCAAAGCTTTCAAATGATATACATTTATTTATCTGATATTACTATATATATTATCGAAACGAATTCAGAAAAAAGCACTTAATAATTTGGCGTAATTTTACTCCACTGAACACGTTATAAATTCGGTAATAATTATGTTATTTAGTACGAAAAAATCTCAAAAAATTATTTTTTAAAATAATTTGCTCGAGATTAGGTTACTATAAAAATTTCGACACCGACAATGCATACTAGGATAAGGGCGTGGCTTTAGTTAATAAGAGCTGTAACGTTTGATTGTCACAAATGTTTGAAAATTTTATAATTTATTATTTTATTAATTAATTACGTAATTTCTATAACCTAATGTACTTTTTCTAAAAGGAAAAAGTTTAAACTATAGCAATTATATACAATCAAAGAGAAAGTCATTGATTCTGCTAATTTAAATAATAACCTAACCTTTATAACTACGAAAAAGTCAAAATATTTAATTAAAAATTTTCTTTGGAGGAGCTTCTTCCTTATGGTAAAATCATGTACAACTGCTTTCGCACTTGATTCCGGTTTTATCACAAAAAATCAGCTTTCACACTTGGTGTAGTTGATTCCGGTTTTGTCACCGTTGTATTACCACCATCAGTCACTTCGAAAATTGGACCACGAAAAGGATTCGTTGGTTCAGACTCAAGAGCGATAAAACTTCCATATTTAGTTCCAGGAGTAAATTTCTCATCGATTGTGAATGAAATATTTCCTGCAAAAAGTGTGGACTAAATTTGATATAAAGAAATTAAAATTTTTATTATTTTAAAAAAAAAAAAATAAAGAAAATTAAATTACACTAAATTTAATTCATTCATAACATACATCAGCAATAAAGGGTGGGGCAAGATTATGTTCTGCGAGAATAGCGAAAGATATTGGTTCTAAAAAAGAGAATTTCCAAAGTAAGAATATATTTAGAAAAGCAGAATTTTTTTTTACCAACCATCAGCAGAAAATCCTGTAGTCGTCCAAGTAATGGTTTGTTCAGAACCAATAGTCAATGGTCCTGGACCCGGACCTACAATATTAACGGATTTTTGTTCGCCATTTCCTTGTGGTAAAGGAGAAGAATAAATAAAGGTAACCAAGAACGCAATAATCAAAGCAAAAGTAATAGATTTCATTATTATTTTAGTTTTGTTATTAAAAAAAGGATGAAAGGATAAAAATCAGCTCGTTTATATGGATTTTTTATTTTTTTTATCGTCATACTCGATTCTTTGGCCTTTTTATTGTATTTTTTTTTTTTTTAAATTATTTTTCGCATATCATCCACGTCTTGTCTTCCTGTCTTACTCTGAAGTGGCTTTTTGGGAAAAGACTTATCAATCAATTTAAAAAAAAAAGCCCAAGCCTCCATAAATTATTAAAGTGATTAATGGGCTAATTGCCGATATTTTTTTTTAATTGAAAAAATTAGCAAATGTTCTTAGTTAAATTATTTAATTCCTTCACTATTTTCTAAAATGATCAAGGGCTAAAAAAAGCACGGCTTAGTAATTTTTATAAATTTTTGTTCAAGATGCGGGCATCTTTTTATGGATTAGGCTATTAAAAATTAAAAATTAATATTACGGCTATGGCTTAGACTTAACCTCATAAATTAGATTGAAAAATTAATCATTTAGGAATAGTTGAAGTTAAACGGAATATTTTTAAAATGGATAGCTCTCACAAAATATACATAAATTATTTAAATAAAAAAGTAAAAATAAAAAAAAGGATGTAGTGGAATTGAAGAAAGAAAGGTATCACCATCATTATCAAGTTCTCTAATATAATCTTATTAGATCGATATACAATTTGCAATCACACATTGTTTCGATATTTTAGGCTTGATGGTGTAGAATTACGAACAAACATTTTTACAAGAAACAAAAAAAAAGCCATATTCTTGGTTTATATTCTTTCCCATCCACTTTTTAAGGTTCGATTACTATACTGGTAATAAATTTGGATTACTGCGATACAAAAACCAGCTTTCGTCGTGTTTTCATACACTTTAATTGTTTGTCATCAGGGATTTTTTAAAGAGTATGAATTTTCTTCTTATCGGTACATTTAAACATTTCGGATATTCAAATTGACCATCCTAAATTCGGACAAATGACCACCTCAAACTGTCCCAAGTGGCCACAGATATATTAAGAAATTGTAATACTTTAATTAAATGATATAGTTATTATCCAATTCAACTTTAAATTTCAAACTTTAGACATTAACCTATTTGGGCTACAACAGATCCAACATGAAAGAGGAATCTAAGAAAAAAATATTAACGAAGTTTAAATGCTGCATCTTAAAGTAATCAAAACAGAAAAAAAAAAGATTACAAAAAAGCCTTATATTTGCGAAAGTTCCCAATATGAAAGAGAAACGAACCTAAAGAAAAAAAATAGAAACTGTTTAAATGAAGTAATCAAAAAAACCTGAAAGCGGAACTAAATTATACAAAATCCTAAGTAAAATAATAAATTATTCAAATATTTACACCTCAAGTGATCGAAACAGTTAATGAAAAAAGGAATTAAAAATAAGATATAGTTTTACCTCGTAATTACGAAAGTGATCTAACCTGTAAGAGAAAATAATGAATACAAAGTCCTAAAGAACAAATAAGGAAATTATTTAAATAATGCATCCCAAAATGATCTAAATAAAAAAATAAAATAAAATAAAAACAAGCTTTTAAATATTTAAAAATATTGTTTAAAAATGGAATAGTTAAAACCGGCCGTGAACAAGTTTTGTGTTAACGTTAACGTTACATTTCGTTCATTTCGAAATGAACGAAATGAAATGGAACCCATGCCCAGCCAACCACCCGTTAATCAGAGGATGTTTATATAAATTTTTGAAAAGATTAGTCCGGAACAAAAAAGGAAATAATTAAAATTAAAACAATCATACAATAAGTTTAAAAACGTTGTCGTCACGTCGTCACGTTTAGAGACCTCACATAAAATTGTGAAACATTACACAAATCAAAAAGGATATTTTGTCTCCCAGTAAGGGGAGGGCCAGAAATTACGTTATTTTGATTTTAAGGATTTTGACTCCCTCCCCAGGAATTTACTTCATTTCTGGACCTTCCCTAAAATTCGAGTTTGAGTCTCAAAATTGGTTACACAAGTTTCCTTTTGGAAATGTGTGTAACGCCACGTGATTTCAAGAAATTAGTATACCGTTGCGTTTAAAATCGTTGATGATAAAAATAATCAGGCGCTGACGTAGACAATGGGTACTTTTAGCTTTAAACATTAATTAACATTTCATTTTTTCTTTTATAGGTTCCGGGGTGGTCATTTCAAAAATAAGACTTTTGAAATTATTTTTTAAAGTCGAATGAAATGTTTATTAACATTTTGTATTCTTCCTTTTATAGGCTTTCAAATTTCCTACTTTACAAAATTTATCTTTTATTTTTTATTAATTTTTATTTTTAATCTTTTTTCTTTGGGATGGATTATTATAAAGCATTTCAAAGGTAAATTTCCTTTGTTTCATTTTTTAATGAAAAATTAACTAACTTTTTAATTTTTACTTTACGTAGATTTCTTTGAACGGATCTATAAAACATTTTGAAGGTAATTTTGCTGTATTCTTTATTGCATTTTTAACTAACGTTTTTATTTTTCCTTTATGTAGATTTCTTTGGGCAAGATTTCAAAGGGTAGCATTTTATTGCTTTATTTACTACACTTTTTAGCGTTAGTTTTTACTTTAGATTTTAATTTATATTTATGTAATTTATTGATAATTAATGTTATTTAACTATTAAATAATTTTTAACGCTATTTAACAATAAAGTAACTTAATGTCATTTAACTATATAATAATATAACGCTATTAAACTAGTTTGGTTATTTAATCGCCATTTATCCCTATCGTTAATACTCTGACGTCTCCGATTATTATCGATGTAATATCATGTGATTTTTACATCGATCCTGAAAAATTTCCCGATGAAATCAAAAAGTAAGTCTTGTTAAATAGTTTTTTTGAACATAACAAAATTTTTCGGTTGTCAGCATTCAAAATTTCTAAGTCATAATTAGAATCGATGTATCACGTTTCTAAGCTTCGAATTTTGTTTCAATACAATTCTTTTAATTCTTTTTTATTTATTTAGAAAGGTTTGAGGGTTTGTAAAATCATAATGTATGTAAAGTTGTTTACAAAAATATCGGCAAGTGATTTATATTAACAATGCAAATATAAAAATCATTTTTTAAGCAAATTTTTAACTTGAGGTTTAGGATTAGATATGAAGATTTACTTTATTACTATAAATAAAGCGGAAATCAATGTAATATGAGTTAGAATAATATTTATTAAATGAATAACTGATATTTAGATTTATACTAAATTAATATAATGAAATCGATAATCAATTCTACATTTTGATCGATACCATTCCTATTTCAGACTTTAAATTTTATTTATTAAACATGATCACCGAATATATTGCCACGAGATTTTTATATCATTGTTTTATCTTCATAATATAACTTGTAATTAAATCCTACTCTTTATAATCGCTTCAAATGTTTGTATTACATTATCAAACTTCATGAAAAAAAGTTATCGCACCATATCAATTTGAAGTAATATCAAATTTTATAATTGTTGTGACAAATGTATTCGTCTCAAAACTTGTCATTTTTTTTTTAATTCTTTATTAGTATATTAAAAAGAATGCAGAAAGCTTGTATGTAAAAAGTTTATTTTTTTGCTTGATTGAACTGACTAGCAAATTCATTTTGGGATAGTTAAAGTTGTTAAATAAAGTAAAGCATTTCTGACTCTATATCATAGTATGCTTAATTCATTATGCTTTATGCTTTTGCATACACATTAAAGTTCTTTTATCCTATATCTGGTTAGAACGACAATAAATTGATATTGCTTTTTTTATCTTATTTAGCGTCTTTTCCAGGTCAACAAATTTTTTAACCGATTAAAAAATTAATCGATTAACCGCAGTTAAAAATTATTTTTAATAATTAAACTTAATGATAACATTTAGGTTTTACGTTTGTAACTCTTTGTTTTGACATTAAATTTTTCGTTTAAACCTTTTCCTATAATTCTCGCGGGGAAAAAAATGTTAAAAAGTTAAACGTAATTAGACAATTTTGAACAAAATTTTACCTCTAATTATAATTGCGAATATGGGAGTGAGTGCTGGGAAAAGGGACCAAATCAAAAAATGTTTCAAAAAATTGTTCTTAAGTAAAATTTAATCTGATCAGCTTAACGGATCGAGAACTTTCATTATTTAAAAAAAAAGAATTTTTTGATGATTTAGTCCCTTTTCCCTGCACTTACCCCATATATTGATGCCGAAAATGGATTATTTAAATTAAAGCACTTATCTATTTAAAGAATAAAATATGCATGCATGTTTCCGACAATCGGAAAGTCCCTAAAAAATGGGAGCGTGACGCCACATTTGAAATCATGTGTAAGTGCCATATGCCGCGCCACCAACCTGAACCACAAAAAACACGTGTAAAAGTTTTATGCTGAAAAAGACATTATGATAATTATAATATTTAGAGTATGTGGCAAATTTTTTAAAAAAAAAAGATAAAAATCACTTTGTCGTGCTAAGAGCAGAAGTTATTTAGGTTTAACTGTTAGAAAAATAATTTTTCGAAACAAAATTGTGGCACATGTGCCGACCATTTGCCGATCATTTCCAAAAAATGTCCGGAATATTTCGGACGTGCCGTAAAGCTTGCTATTCTCTCAACTTAAGGACAATTTATAAATAAAGTATTGCCTAAATTTTCAGATTTTGTTGAAGTTTTAATCTAACCTCGTTCCCTTTGCTTTAAACTGCTAAATTTAATGAATACTACTATGATTAAGTTCCCGAAATAGATTTTAAAAGGTGTAGAGAGTGTAACTCTGCTGCATTGGCATTGGCATTGGCATTTGAAACATTTGAATGGTGTCAATATTGTGATTCAAACTTGTTTCAACGTGATTGGACAAGTGGTAACGATGATATTGATAAATTTTTTCAAAATATTCAGTTATCAGCAGAAAATAGTAATGAGGTATTAGAATGGATACCCTATGATCATTTTTATAATGTTGAAGAAATTGCGAATGA